ATTGAATATTAACACCCATTAGGAGGAAAGAAATCTTTTTAAGTCTATTAAAATCATTACTTATGATTTTGTTTTTTGGCTCGCAGCCTGGCTATGAAAGGCTCTGTTGCTTACGGTGCATTCAACCGCGTGATCACAATTTCAATACCACATGTGTTTGTAGAGTGCCAAAGCATTTGAGGGAAGAGAAGGTCATAGAATGTGTCCACTGTGGTTGCAGGGGTTGTGCTAGTGGAGACTGATTAATTTGGAAGGAAAGGATTGTATGATTTTCTTTGATTGCCTCACCATATAGACTTTTGTATGCCCACTTATTTCATGTCTATAGTAAAGAGAAACTTTTCAAGCCTTGGAAGTGTATTGGTCTCACCATTTAGTTTAAAATTGCGGTTTGGATGGGGGAATTGCCTAATCTAGCTGGGGAATCGACTGAACTGAACCGGTTTGGGAAGGAACCAGTGGGTTTTTATCCCCTCGAAATGCGCCCTTTCATAAATACCCCCCATAATTTCTAGCTTCTCTTAAGGTTATTTTAGGTATCTTGGTGAGCAATAGCCCATAAATTATTTACTTTTATTTATTTATTTTTGAATATTTTTTTGGGTCTCCTACTCGGATCGATTTTATTCGGCAATACATCATGGGATTGGTGGGTGGACAATCAACCCCACCCATACTAGGCCTCACTTTTGTTTAGTGCTTGATAGGGCATTTTAATGGCTTTGGCATGAGATTTGTTGGGGTTGTTAGCGCCTCAGATGCTTGTTTTCATACAAACTAAACTGTTATTCGTAACTGAAATTATTTTTGCTATTTAGCCTTTTTTAAGTGGTAAGCTTGTTGGAGCTAAATTTACTTTCTTGATAATGGGGATGCCTGCTTGTATATTCGAGAAACAAGGATATGATTTTGATAATGAATTCCTAAGAGAACCGTGTTACCTCACTCTTTTAGCTGCTATTTACATGAGCTAAAAGATTTCACGTCCTTGAGAGTATTTCCAGGATTCAACCCCCCTAAGGTTCTGTTTGGATCCTTGGATATTTCAATCCTGGGAAAAGTCTATCTTGGACTTGAGATGTATTGGAATTGACATTTCCGGAAATCTGGTGTATGCTGTTTGGATCTCCATCTAGAAGTCAAGAAAATGTAAATTCTTTGTTTGGATTGTCTAGAATATCTTCTTTTTTGGAAATGCAAATCTTCTTTCTCTCTTTAAATTTTGAGATAGTTTTTCTTTATTTCTTTATTTTTAAAATTTTAATACACTTGCCTTCAAAAACCTAAATTTAAAATAGTCCCTCTCTTCAAATATTTTGAGATAGTTTTTCTCTTTAAAAATTTTATATACTCTCTTTAAAATTTGATATAGTTTCTCGATAAAATTTTGAGAAGCTTTCTCTCTAAAACTTAAAATTTGAGATAATTTCTCTTTATAAAACTTTTAGATGGTTTCTTTTTAAACAATTTTAGGTAGTTTCTCTCTCTAAAATATGGTATGGTTTCTCTCTCTAAAATTTTAAGGTATTTTTTTATATTCAATATTTAAAATTTGAGATAGTTTCTTTTTACAAATATTAAGATAGTTGATCTCTAAGAGATTTTAGGTACTTTCTCACTCTAAAATTTGATATAGCTACCCTCTATGAAGGTTTAAGATGCTTTCTCTCCCTATAACTTAATTTCTAAGATAGTTTCTCTCTCTAAACTTTTCAGATAGTTTCTCTAAAAATTTAATATAGTTTCTCTCTCTAAAATTTAAAATTTGAGATAGTTTCTCGATCTAAATTTTTTAAATAGTTCCCTTCTCTAAAAATTTCAGGTATTTTTTCTATTTAAAATTTGATATAGTTTATCTCTCTAAAGTTTTAAGATATTTTCTCTCTAAATTTTTCAAGTAGTTTCTTTATTTACAATTTTAATATATTTTCTCTCTTAAAATTAAAATTTGCGATAGTTTCTCTATTTAAATTTTTTTAAATAGTTTCTCTCTCAAAATTTTAGGTACTTTGTCTAAAATTTGATCTTGTTTCTCTGTCTAAAGTTTTAAGATATTTTATCTCTCTAAAACTTAAAATTTGAGATAATTTCTCTCTCTAAATGTTTTAAGAGATTCCTATCTAAAACCTTTTAAGTAGTTCATCTCTCTAAAATTTAATATAGGTTCTCTCTCTAATATTTTAAGGTACTTTCTCTCTCAAAAATTTAAGATTTGAGATAGTTTCTCTATAAAATTTTAATATGGTATTTTTAAATCTTTAAACTTGAGATAATTTCTCTTTAATTTTTTATGTATATTTTCTCTCTCTAATAAAGTTACACATGCTTTCTCTCTCTAAAATTTGATGTAGTTTTCCTATCTAAAATTTTAATATGTTTTCTTTATCTAAAATTTGATATAGTTTCCCTCTCAATTTTTTTTTTTTGTTCTTCAGCAACATATTTTGGTAGAATTGAGATTTTCAAAATTTAGGCTTAAAATGAGCATTAAAAAATCCGACAGTAATATCAACTCCAACGGAAATGTCAATTCTAAGCGTATCAAACATGATTGGCCCAGCTTTTCGAAAAAAAGTGATTCCTAGAAATCTGAATCCAACGAACCAAATATGCCCTAAAAGTATGTCCTATGATTCAGCAAAGTCTTCCAATTTTGGACAGTCAAATCTAACTATTTAAGAACTCAAAATCTTTTTTTTTTTCGGAAAATAATCATCCAGCAAATTATAAGAGGATCTCAATATTTCTCATGAAAAACAAGGACTCCCTAGTATCTCTTTGAACCTGGGGGAGCAAGGGTGCTCCCATGAAGCATATGATACACACACCCCAAATATCATACCCCAAATTCATCAAAATAGAAATGAAAATGGAAAATGTCACTAAGGGGATTAAATTATTTACAAAATCAAAAGCACTAAAAAGATCCAATTAATCATTTTAAATTTTATTTCATAAAAGTACTTCACATAGTTTGTTTACAAATTCCCAAATTAACCATTTTCAGGGTTGGGAATCTTGAATAACTAGGGCTGTTTTGGTAATCTTGTCTAGCGGCTTCGAGTTAAATTATTAAAATACTGATAGTTGTTCAAGATTGGGAAAATAAAATTCTTAAATTATTCAAATGCCTTTGATTATTTAGGATTAAGAATACAAAACCAAGGTCATTTTCATTATTTGGTGGTTTCTCGTTCCCAACCCTAAACATGGAAAAGTGATTTCTGCAATTTTTGAAGCATTGGTTCATTCTTGCTTGTTAGGTATAGATTAATAGGTGCACATTCAATTCAATATGCCAATGTTCTATCCGTGGCATTTATATTGTAATGGATTTTGCATGACTTGAAAGGACTACACAAGTTTCTTGGCAGAATAACGAATAAATGCGTATTTAAGATTGTTTTTTTGAATGGTAATTTGAAAAAAATGCATATTTAAATTTATGGCAGCATATAAATGTAAGGATGTCTTCACTCAATACTCCATAATATCTTGAAGACATTCACGAGCATCAAGATCAGGTTTCTAATGCACATGAAGAAAGGGAAATAAATAAAATGTTGGGAAAATTTTATATAGAACTTTAATTTCTCGTATTATTTATGGTAGACTTTTTCTCCATTTTTTTTCAAGTGGCATAAGAAAACCTTTAAATATTTTACAATACCCCTTTATCTCTTATCTCTTTATTTTATCTCTTATCTCCCTATTTTATTGACTTTTGATCATAAAAATTAGCCTCAACAAATTTTTTTATACCATTTCAATCCAAAAATGTTTTTAATAAGTGGAAAGGGAAAAAGATGGTTAAAAATATTTTTGCGATAAAATGATATAAAAAGATTTGTTGGGGCTAATTTTTATGTTCAAAAGTCAATAAAAGAAGGAGATAAGAGATAAGGGGGTATGGTGAAATCCTTAGGGATTTACTTATGACGCTTGAAAAAAAAACAAAATGAGAGTCTACCATGAAATAATATGAGAAATTAGGGTTTTATACAAAATTTTCCTTAAAATGTTAAAAGAGGAAAATAAATAAAATGTTAAAAACAAATTTTTTTTTTTTTTCTCCGTTTAAAAAAAGAGAGGAAAATTGTTTTTTTTTTTTTTTTCAATTATAGATAAAATGTCCACCTTCATCATTATGGTCATGAAAAATAATTAGGATCTTAAGCCCTAAAAAGAGCAGATGTTATAACACATTATTTAGACCGTCCATTTTCAAGTATTTACAAATCCATAATATTTGTACTATTTTTTAAAAAATAAATTCCATAACCAGTGGCAAAAATAGAGTTTAGAATCATCTTAAAGATTTCCCATGTCTAAAGTGTTTTCTAGGCAAAATTTTAAGAGGAGGCTCTACTTTTTTTTGCATAAAGCCAACACCTTATAGAAACTGCATCCTAAATGTATTTTTAGAAACAAGATAGGCATTTTTGGATACAAAAGTTGTAGAGGAAAACTTGAATTTTGAGGCACCTTATAATGGTTTAGTTGACAAACGCGTGGCATGAGAAGATTACAAGTTTAGAACATTAATTTTATTAGTAATAGTATTACAATTCATAATCATGTGTTTTTTATGGAAGTTTTGAAATTAAATCAAAAGATACGAATAAAATATTCAAATAGCTTATCTCTCATTAATATTTAGATTATTTTCATTAAAGTAAATCATGATTTTATGAAGAGTTTGTGTTTCTTTTTACTCATAAAATCATTTTCCCACCTATCTTCTTTGGTGCATAACTTAAGCAGGGATCTAAGAAGTCGTTTGTACACCTCCTGAAAACAAGTTTTAGCACCGTTAGTAGTGGTTCTATTTGAGACGCCACCATTTTGTGACTCAGTTATTAGTTTTCATGGCCCTTGCAAAATGCCTATTTTATTAGGTGTTTTGTCAGGGGAAGGATGCCTCAACATAATATGCTGTTCTTATTTCCACCATTAATATGTT